TTGTTCTCGAAGGAGTGGATCACGCAAAAGCAATGCCGTCGCGGCGCGTACCGTCGCCAGAGCTTGTCACGTCCGTGCAACGAATAGAGGGCAATTGTGAGTATCGTATCATATTGGGATGAGAAGAACTGCGCCTATATACTCCAATGCTCATGCAAGACCTTCAATAACAAGCTCCAGCTCGACTTGTCGCATTATCATTACATTATTAGTCCTCTAGACGTAGAGCTTACTTTCCGCCAAACAGTCCACCGAGCCATGATTGAGTCTTCGCGGCCTTCTCCTCGACGACGGCATCGAACTTGTTGGCGGCCGCGTTGACCTGCTTGCCTGCCTCGTGCATCTCGCGCTCAGCGCGGACCTTGGCCTCCTCGTACTGCTTCTTCGCATCTGCGCTGTAGGCATCGAACTTCTGCTCCGCCCTCTTCGCTTCCGCCTTGGCTTGGTCGGCCTAGCAGTAGTCAGCATACTGCCACGAGTAACATCAAGTCGCATTGGACATACGTATTGCTGTGCGCTGGCGCGTACTGCCTCGTAACCCTCCTGGCCGGCCTTCTTGGCTTCCTTGTCCTGGCCAGGGTAGTCGCCTCTCAGCTTGCGTGCGGCAGTCGCAGCGTCATCTATACATGTTAGTCAAGATACTTTGAAAGTTGAATACCTCCACGACGTACGTTCAGCCTTCCTCTCGGCAAGCTTCGGGTCGCCTCCAGCGCTGTAGAGGTAGTAGGTGACACCACCAACAGCAGCGAGACCACCGTATGTAGCGAAACGACGAGACATGTTGATGTAATGGGGTTTTTGCGAGGTGGTATTGATTGGACTTGAAGCAAGATCACGGTATGTGAGATTCGAATTGGAGATGTAGAATGAGAGTTGTGCGAGGGAGGGGAACCTTGGAAGGCGTCTTTCAAACAAGCGCATGTGTGACGTAATGGCAGACAGCTGCAGCACGGGCTTTTCAGTGCCGTGCGAACCAGATCACCAAACTAGGACTCTACCGAGCGCGACAAGCCGGATCCACATTGCATACACTCGTTGCTTTCGCTTCCACATGTTAATCATAATGTCATTATAGTATTCATCTTTATCGCATCGCCGTCACACCTCGATCGTGCCTTCCCAGCGTGCTGCCTGCTGTGCGCGCCCCTTAAACCGTTCACCACAACAAGCCAGCCTCGAGCGACTGTCTGAGCGACTACCGCGCAGCGTGCCGTGCCTGCCTAACACAGCGACCTCATGTATCCACGATAGCAACGGCGTTTGCCTCTTACTCTCCTTGACACCTACACCACGCTTGTAGCATGGCGGACCAACAAATACACCTCGTCGACCACACCGACGGCGACAACACACCGACCTCGGCTACACAACCCGAACAGCGGTCAACCACATCGGACTCGCACATAGATATCCTCTACGAGAACCAACGCGGTTGGTTCGTCTTCGGCATTCCCCTCTTCTCGTCCAAAGCGCTATGGAACCTGCGAATCGACCCTGCGCCGTGGCAGGATGCCAAGTTCAAGCCTTCAGCAGTCAACATCACAAATGCACAAGTCCCGGACCCAAGTTGGGTATGGGACTGGAAGAGCTGGTATGTCGACATGAGTCTGGATGTCGATGAAGAGGGTTGGCAATACAGCCTGCTCTTCAAGGGCTCAGCGTGGCATGGCAACCACCCGTGGTTCCACAGCTTCGTTCGGCGGCGACGCTGGCTACGGAGGCGGGTCAAGCAGAGGCTGCCACCCAAGACCAAGAAGAATGCGAAGGAGCGCATGTTTGGCGAGACATTCAGCATCGGCACGACACTGGCTAGATCAGCCACCTTTGGCACTGGCAGCGGTCTATTGGACGACAGCGCACAGACGAGTCTAGACGAGGAGATTAGGGATATTGCGACATTGATGAGAAAACTCAAGGCAGCTGCCATTGACCGCGAGAAGATCATCTACATACATAAGTTCATCGACGATGGAGGGGAGGAGCTGCACTACCTCCCAGAACAGGTATGTATGTTGTATTCCCATGCAAACATAGCTAACAAGTGCAGATACCGTCCATCATGTCGATGCTCATCTTCCAGAATTCGCGCCGCCAACTCCTCTCCACACTTATGGACCGCTTCGAGGCCGCCAAAGACCACCGCGAACAACACAAGAAGGATCACAAGCCTGAAGGCGACGCCGAGGAACGCAGAATCAACAATCTGCTCAAGGCTATTGAAGCCGCGGATAACGAGTGTAAGAAGCTGGAGTATTGGAGCGATATCAAGAATCTGACAGAAGAGGGCAAAGCCGGGAATGCAACAGATCCCAGCATGGGGTGGGACGAAGAGAAGTGGCAGGGACTAGATGCGAGTGGCGCCAAGCATCCTGATACCTGAGTCTGAGAACTTGAGAAGGTTTGGATGCATGCATATATTGGAGTTTGTCAGAGTTCGTGGGGTGCGGCTCTTCAAGGTCAGCACATCGGGTCAATTGGAACGACTAATCAGTTTTCGTATTGTATCGCAACTATACATGCTATCGTCAGCAAGAGTATCCAGCCATACGGTGTTATATTATCCATTCACATTCCTCAATCTTATCGGCCCCCTGAGATCCGCCAAACTCTCCACGTCCACTACTACGCCCTTCTGCATTACTTCGACTTCCCCAGCCTCTCTCTTCTCCCACACCATCTGTCGTACATCATCCATGGTGTCTCTCCACTCTGACGCGTCCAATGCACACAGCTCCTCTGTTGACAGTGCGCGGGCAATTTCGGAAGGACAGATCGTCTTTGGCCAAGCCCTTGAGCTCAATAGACGGTCGGCATGGCGCGATAGGATGGTTCTCTTGGCGTCATCAAGAGCCATATTGTTTGTGCAGCTGGCGAATACTGTGTGCCAGCTAACGGGTTCGATGTGCCGATAATGCTTGGATTGTTTCGCAGCGATATTGTGAGGCTGCGCCGTCTCGATGGTTTCACCCAGATCTGGTTGCTAGACCCATCGCCCGCTGATCGACAACAGGGGTCTAAAGATCCTTAGCTAATCTTTTGACGTCAGAGCGCCCAATCGGTGCGCAGCAGAAGCAAAATAATTCGAGCATTTCAGCGTCGCGTCCCCTCCCCTCTAAAACCGAAACTGCCCGCAGCACTGGGATTGGCGTTTTGCCTTTGCGCGTCGTTTTTTCTTGTCCTGTCATGCCGCACCGGTTACCCCACGCTCTCCGAGAGCTAGTTGCAGCGGGGCAGTCCTTCGCTCCCGCCTCTCGTCTCTTATCAAGCTCAACACCGCTACTGCATACTTCTTCTCCGATATCTTCTCTACTCCATCAGACTTCCCTGCGTACCTGTCATACCGGACGGTCAGCATCCCTCTTGCAAGCATCCAGCCCACAGAGTACTACCGCCAAACGAAACTTCTCCTGGCCCAGAATGACTGGAAAGGAAGAGCCAAAGGAGGTGCGCAAGTACCTGCAGCAGAGCCATGACCGCATCTTTGAAAACAATAAGAAATGGGCCGATGAGATGCGGAACAAGAACCCAGGCTTCTTCAAGGATCTGAGTGCAGGACAAGCACCCGAGTATCTATGGATTGGTGAGTTGCATCTGGAATGACTCAATTGCCCTATAACATTACTCCATTATATCACCCACCACCTAGAACTTGCTAACCCAATCTCCACAGGCTGCTCCGACTCCCGTATCCCTGCCGAAGCCATCACCGGTCTCGAGCCCGGCGAGATGTTCATCCACCGCAACATTGCCAACCTCGTCAACAACATCGACCTCAACGTCATGTCCGTCGTCAACTACGCGGTCCGCCACCTCAAAGTTAAGCACATTGTCGTGTGCGGCCACTACGGCTGCGGTGGTGTCAAAGCCGCCATGACACCAAAGGACATGGGTCTGCTGAACCCCTGGCTCCGAAACATCCGCGACGTCTACAGACTGCACCAGAAGGAGCTCGACGATGTCATGGCCAACGGCGGCACAGAGGAGGAGAAGTACGACAAGCTCGTAGAACTGAATGTGTACGAGCAGTGCCGGAATGTGGTCAAGACGGCGGCTGTGCAGCAGTGTTGGGCTGAGAACGAGTTCCCTGTCGTGCACGGCTGGGTATTTGGATTCGGAGACGGATTGTTGAAGGATCTCAAGTTCGACCACGAGGGCGAGCTTAAGGAAATTCAGAAGATTTACGATTTGACAAAGGACATGTAGATGGCGTTGGTGGGTGTGCGATGTATGAGTAGTTGTCGTGGCATTTAGCGAGGTGTTGGTGTAGGGGAAGTGGAAGAGATGGTGCTGCAACCGGGCTTAGATGCTAACGTAGAGCTAGTTACCTCAATCTCCCCAGTACTTTTGTAGGTACCACCTGGGTTTACACACTAGTCTTGCAGGCTCACGCCAATCCCTCCACGTCTCGTCACCGCAATCAAACCCTAGCGCCTTGCGTGAACGAGAATGAGTAAACGAGTACGACATGGACTGTTTCGCTTACGATGCCATTCATGCATGCTCTCCAAAGAGAACGACATAACCCGATCCAGGCCCACCTCCACTGTTTCCTCGAACACGATCACTGATCTCTGCCATTAACCCAACCTGTTGGTAACACCAATCCAGAATATCGTTCCACCGGCTATCACAGCCCTCGAGCTGGCAGGCCAACTCCTCCACAATCCTCTTCCCAGAATATTGCATCCACCACATATCCTCCAAAATACAATTAATCGCTCCCCAACAGGCTAATATAACCAGAGCCGGCACCTGCCCCATATCCGCCTTCTGAAAGAACTCCGGCTCCACGGTACCCAACCAAGGAACCACCGAATGCCCATCACTATCCATGTACGCCTTCTCCAGTTTCTCCAGGGTACCACGAAAGAACGGCGTCGCCGCATCATCAAGATCCATATTCGCAAGTATCGCATCCGTCAATGCGCGCAGCTTCTCCGCCGTGAACGCTCTGCCCTCTTCTCCTACCAACTCAACAACAGGACTTCCAAGTATCTGCTTCAACTCCCCGCTATTAGCCCACACACTATGCTCCTCCACAATCTCCTTCATACCCATCGTATACTTCCTAACACGCATCAGTACCTTCGACACAGATTCCAACGTTTCACCCGGCGTGGCCGGAATCAGACTCGCGATAAGCGCAACAACAGCATGAAGAGCAGTCATAAGACAAACCGGGTCGAGACTCTCTTTCGAAATACAAGCCAGCGACACCTGCTCATTGAGCTCGGATATACTTCTGTTCTGGTAGTGCAGTGCGGCGGCGACGTGGTCGTGAGATGCGGTGGGGGAGGAGGCGAGACTGGCGCTGTGTAGAGAGGTGAAGGCGAGGAGTATGTCTAGTAGGTAGGTGTGTTGCAGCGCTTTGGTTACGGCGTAGTCGCGGAAGACGAGCGCGTTGCGGTGCACGGAGGTGAGGTAGGTGGTTGTGGTCCATTGGTGCATGAGCCGCATTTCGAGCGTTCGGGTCGCATTGTAGGTGGCTAGGCGGGAGGATGGGCCGCTGTAGACATCGTAGAGGGAATACCAGCCGGGTTTGGTTGGAACAGGTGATCGTGGTGATGATGATGAAGATAACGATGATGCCGTTGTCAACGCCGTCTTCGCTTTCCTTCTAGACCCAGGCGAAACATTCTGTGTTGGGTAGGTGCATTGTTCTTCTCGTAGAGCACAAGCTCCGCATTTGGGTGTGGCTTCGTCGCATTTGACGCGCCGTCGCTTGCACGTGTCGCATCCAGCCCGTGACTTCCTATGGTATCGTTTCACTGCCATTCGGGCTCGATCTAGGCACTCGCATATTCGTTCCGCTTTAGATGTGGTAGGTTGTCATGCACCTGGGGAGTTTGGCAAGGAGACGGCATGGCTCAGGTGTGCTGCGGGGGCGAGACTTGTTGGTGCCTGGCCTGGTGCCAAAAGGAAGCCTAATTTGGTAGGTTGACGCTAAGGATGCCGATCACAAGAGGTACTCGTTCTCGTTTACCGGTCCTGCGCCGGAAGCTTAACATCCGCCTTGCCGAAGTAATTATGCTCTAGAAGGACAAGGCAGGATTACTAGCGATCACATCGCGCAGTTCGTTTCGTCGTTTGCCCTGATGAACCACCATCTCGCGAGGTCGGCTATGCCGCCATTGCCATCATAGTGGGATTGGCAGGGCGTTGACGAACCGCCTCCCATCGCAGCTAAAGAAACATGTCGTATATAAGTAATGTTGTCGCAGGCACCATTCTGCTGTACACATTAGAGCGAGTCACCACCTGTTTCAACATCAAATTCCTATCTCGCACGAACCGTGTCTTTTCTTGAACAAGATGTATTCGGCTTTAGGTATGTTGAGTCCGATGCATTCGATATGATCTCTGTTTCTAACAGCCCGAACAGCGCACGGATTGGCTTGTTCAAGCCTTGCCCAACCCTACCTCGATGGCACGGCAATCACGAAGTTCACTGCAGAGCCCAAGACACAATGGACACCAGAAGGCTCGCCTATCCCAGCCGAACAGCTTGTGCCACTTCTTGGAGTCTCATCGTACAATATCTCCTACTGCCGCGTAGAGATGGCCTACACCCATCCAGGTCAGAACGACACAGTCAACCTCCAGATATGGCTGCCGGAGCAGTGGAACGGACGCTTCAACGGTGTGGGAGGCGGCGGCTGGCGCGCTGGTGTTTTCGATCAGAGCCTACTCCCGGCCATTATCCAGGGATATGCGGCAGCTTCCACTGACGGTGGCCACAATGCAACTGAAGTCTCCGCTCTTCCTTGGGCGCTCAAGTCTCCGGGCAATGTCGATGTGGTTGCTTTGCAGAATTTCGGTTCTGTTACTTTGAACGAGCTCTCTATATTCGGGAAGATGGTTACCGAGAGCTTCTATCAGAAGGCTCCCGCTTACTCTTAGTATGTATGACCCTGGCACTGCGATTCTACCCGTGGTCGACGCTTCATGGTGTGTCTGGGACGAACAGTAGCTAACAAAAGACACAGCTGGACTGGGTGTTCCCAGGGTGGTAGGCAAGGTATGATGCTGGCTCAACGTTACCCCGAAGCATTTGATGGTATCATCGCTGCAGCACCCGCACTGAACATCATCCCACTCTTGGCAAGCTTGTTTCATGCTCAAGCTGTAATGAACACACTCGGCGAATACCCGCCCAATTGCGAATTTGAAGCGATTGGGGCTGCCGCAATCGCCGCTTGCGATGAACTGGACGGCGTCAAAGACTCGATCATATCCATCCCGGAGTTGTGTACTTTCGACCCTTTCACCGTTGTCGGACAGCCCGCCAACTGCGGCAATAGCAGCTCGAATGTCATCTCCAACGCAACGGCAACTGTAGCCAATGCTACATGGTATGGTGTCTCCGACAGACGGGGAAAGAAGATCTACCCAGGATACGCGTTCGATGCACCCCTCCAGGCAACGACCGACACGGACTGTCAAGCCTCAGGTACCTGCCTCACCACCGCTGCTTGGCTACTCGGCGCACAGTTCTTCCAGCTCTTCGTCGAGAAGAACGCTACCTTTGACTGGTCCGCAATTACCGCGGAGAGTCTACCACACTACCTGTACGCCGGCCAGCAGCAGTGGGATTCGATCATCAACACCAACGATGCGGATCTCTCGAACTTCAAGGAAGCAGGAGGGAAGTTGCTCACCTGGCACGGCATCGCAGATGACCTGATTCCTTCGGGTGGGTCAACACAGTACTATGACCGTGTAGCCGCGCTGGATGCCGATGTGGATGAGTACTACAGGTTGTTCCTTGCGCCTGGCCTTCATCATTGCGCAGGTGGCCCTGGTCCTGCACCCGTCAATAATGCGCTGCAGCAGCTTGTCGCTTGGGTCGAAAACGGTACAGCTCCAGACACCTTACCGGCAGTTGGAACGCAACCTGTTAATGGAACAGTGCTGTCGAGAGATCTCTGCCCTTACCCGCTTGTATCTGTTTATCAAGGTGGTGCTGCGACTGATGCCTCATCATACAGCTGTGTTGATGCGGAGAGTGTGTAAGGAACGCGCAGATATTTGTGCGTTGTAGCGTATAATGAGGTGAATGATCAGGGGGGCAGGTATGATCATCGTCAGGCAGAATGGATTAAGTAGCTTGTTGGTGCATTTCGGGGCGCTTTGTGCCTGTAGGATATGAGCATATGTACTCGAATGCAGACCATTGCAACGACTCTTGAGACAATGTACATTCTCTAATCGGACCTGATGTGGTTCAAGGTTTAGCTAGTCCCATTTTGGGGTTGAATATTGATGATTGCGTCAGGCTGTGGGTACCTGAATGGGACTCAGCTGGGGGAGGCTGGGACGCTACCCAAAACGGAGCTATGTCGCGAGGCATAGCCATACACTCTATCGCTCTGTCAGTACACGCGACTGTGTAAGCACACCGTTCCCAGGCTAATGCGAGCTGGTATCCTTCGCCCTATAGATGATGTTGTTGCGACGAGACAGAAGGAGCAGGCTTCTGCGGCTGGCCAACGCCCCTGCCGCGGATTCAGAAATCACCGAAAACAGCGAGAGCCGAGAGCCGCTCCACAGAACACCGACGGTTGCCTGTCCATCTACCAGCAACCATGTTAGAATCCTTGAATGCTGTATACGACTCTTACTACGCAGTCAAGATAACTGCGACCAATTCTCTTGTATTTGTGAGCCAAAATGGTTGAGCAACCTACCATCCAGTCCGCAGACACAGATGGCAACGGACCAGCGAAACGTCGACGAAGACCAGCACTATCATGCGTCGAATGTCGCATGCGCAAGGTGAAATGCGACCGAGGAAAGCCTTGTGGTGCATGCACTAGGATCAAATCAGCGACATGCACGTTTAGACCTCCACGTCCGGGGATTCGGACAGAAACCCAAAGGTCACCCGAGGACGATGCCTCCACAGGTCACAGCAACGATCACGACCAAAATCCGGCTCGCTCTTCTCCTGAGGCGCCCGAGCTTCCCAGTCAGTTTGATGCAATCGTCAATCGTTATGTGGCACCCGGGCTTCTTGGAGAATGCGACGGCCAGCCAAAGCCTCTGCCCTCCAATAAACCGGCTTTTGGCTTGAACTCGCACTCGGACTCTGCGCAAGCTTCTATCATCAACAGCTTGTTGGATAGGATTCAGGGTTTGGAAGAACGACTGGCGAGGGCTACTCTGAACGATGACCCAAGGACTAGTACGTCGCCGGGACGGGAAAGTGCAAGTGACACAAGCGCCCAGTTTGTAAAGGCAAAGTACTATGGTCAGAGCCATTGGATGAACGCTATCGATCCTGTAAGTGATTGTAGCGAAGGTTTCCTTGTCGGGGTTTGTCTGTTCGAAACGAATTTAACTGACGGGTAACAGTATGACGCTCTCGGTGATACAAACACTACAACGAACCACAATACAAACAGGAAAGAGGTGTATGTCATTATTCCAGTCTTTCTCTAGAGACAGTAAATTTAATGGTAGCCTATAGGAACAAATCGACTGAGCTGTATGCTACTGTCTCAGAAGTCAAGCGAATGGCTCGCATCATCAAGGCCTCTCGCATGTCGCAGCCTTCCATCTCTCCAGAACTGCAGGCGTGCATCCCTCCAAAAGAAATCAGCGACGCACTAGTCGACTGCTATCTCCGTACATTCGAAGGTGTGTTTCGCGTACTACATGTGCCTTCCTTCAGAAGAGTCTACGATGCATATTGGCTCGGCACCACGCCTGCCAAGCCGTCCATTATTCATAAGTTTCTGCTGGTATGCGCAATTGCCGTGCCGTTCTACACCGGACCCGACCAAGCCAAGCTTCGCGTCTCAGCTGCGAAGTGGATCCACGCTGCAGCGGAATGGCAGTGTGCACCTCATGCAAAGTCGCGGCTCAACATGATAGGACTGCAGATACAGATATTGATTCTGATCGCACGTCAAGTATGTGGCATCGATGGTGACCATATATGGATACCTGCAGGTACGATGTTGCGGACGGCGATGCATCTCGGCTTACATCGCGACCCGTCTCACTTCCCAAAGATCAGTGTCTATCATGGCGAGATGCGACGCAGACTCTGGGCTACCGTTCTGGAAATCACGGCGCAGAGCAGCTTGGACATGGGCATGCCGCCTATGATCTCCGTGAATGACTACGATACAAAGCCACCGTCCAATATCAACGACGAAGACATGGGAAACGGCATAGATACGCCACTCGATGTGAAGCCAGCAACCGTATTCACGGACAGCAGCATACAGATTGCTTTTACACAGACCCTTCCCACACGCCTTGAGATCATTAGGGTAATCAACAACCTGCGCTTCGACCTATCATACGACGACGTACTGCGTATCGGCACCAAGCTCATCAGCGTCTGTCGCGAGAAAACGATATTCTTCAAATCAGCATTAGCAGCAGGACAAAACATCACGCCGTTCAAGATCAAGATGTCCGATACGCTAGTACGACGCTTCGTCCTCTGCCTCCACCGCCCCTACTTTTCCAAAGCAAACGAGAACCCACGCTATCATTACTCCCGGAAGATATGTCTCGATACTTCATTAGCGATCTACGCACCAGCAACTGAGCTGGCACCGGGAGAAGAGGACGATTGGACGCGCATGACGCACCGGTGCGTGGGGTTCTTCAAGTCGTTCTTCCTCTACGCCATGTCAACCGTTTACTACGAACTCAACTCTCAGATCAACGAAAGGAAAGAAGAATTGGCGCTATTCGCTCCCCTTGTGTCCACACACCCAACCACAACATCATCATCTACAGGGTTGACATCCTTACCACCACAGTACCACGCCCTACGTCAAGTCCTAGAATCATCCCGACACACAGCAGTATCCCGCGTCCAAAATGGCGAAACGAATGCAAAGGGCGTTGTCTTCATCAACTGCGCACTAGCACGTATCGACGCTTTAATAGCCGGCACCGACCCTGAAGTAGCTGTGCTCGAAACAGCGAAATCATCCACCAAAGAAATGAGCCAGATACTAGCATCAGTATACCGCGAAGAGCACGGCGAAGACATCGACCTCAGTCCCTCCAGCAGCAGCTTCGTAGGGAGAGAGCATGGTCGAGGCGAGGGCGCTGATGACGTTACTGGGAAGCATCTACCTACTGGTACTGGGGCCCAAACCGGCAGCAGCAACAGTATAGATTTCCCTCGTTTCGACGGTACGATGGACGGACTGAGTATGCTGGATAGCGATCTGGGAGATGTGAACATGGGATTGGATATCGATATCAATGCGTACATGCAGGGGTTACCCATGGATTCCGTGGATGGTTTTCACTTTGGAAGGAGTCCGGAGTGGTTCTATGATCTTGATGGGTGGGCTGCTGGTAGTAGTTTCGGCAACCCTGGATATGGTGTTTAGGCGCATGTTGGCTGCACGTCAATTGTACCTGCATTACTTATGCCCATGTGTACACCACCGTAAATTTCAAGTTTTTCAGTAGATGGCAGATCGTAAGTATCCTTAGAAAGTGGATCAAGAACCAAGACTTCGCAGGCCAGGAGACACTCGCGCCCACGTGGGCGCTAAAAACGGCACGCCTTGCCTTAGCGGGGTTGGTGCCAATACCTAGGTATCCTACATTTCTCGCTGCGACATTCCAGCCATCAAATCTAACATCTCTTTGACCATTTTCAACACCGTTATTCCGTCAGTCTTCGTCACAATGTCACCCATCTCGCGCATGGCGCGCCTCCTCCTCATCCTCCACTCCATCGTCAACATAGCCCTCGGCATCTACCCCTTCATCAACCCAGAAGAGTACTCTGCAATCACCGGTATGGAGGGTCCAGATAAAACGTTACAATCGATCGGTAAGTCGAGAATCAGTTTCAACGTATACCCAACCCCAAACTAACGGGAGGGAAAAAAGGTCTCGGCGCAGTAGCAGTAGGCTGGTACCAACTCATCTTTACCTTCCAGGGTAACCGTCGCATGATGGCTTCGACCATCCCGCTGAGATTGGGCTTTGCGGCTGTCATGTATGGGTGGGAGAGGCAGCCTGTTATGATCTATGAGTTGATTGTTGTGTGGTTTTGTTTATTGGGGGTGTTTGCTTAAGCTTAGGATGGAAGAGAGAGGGCGAAGGTGGGCAGGGAGGCAATAGGAAGAACATGGAGAAAACTTGTTAGGAAGGCGGTAGGCATTTTAGGTCGAGCATGTCTCTCTGATGATAAAGATACATATGGTACTTGGAGGGTGATATTCTGAAGACCTATACCATCTTGCATACACACAAACGAGGTATACCATAGGGTACCATTTAGTCCATCTCAACTCAACCTGACTAACTCCACTTCACACTCCCCCCGGCCTTCCCATCCAACCCCCACCCCCCATACGTATCCACAAACCCCTCTCTAGTAAGATACTCCTTGTGCTCCTCGCTCCTCCACGCCAGCGCAGTCCCCAACTTCCAACTCGTATCCATTTTGTCCAGCACGAGTTCCACAAGCTGGACGTTCTGCGGGTTTTGCAGCTGCGGCTTGTCTAGGATAGCGGAGAGTTCTGAGAGGGTGGTTGCGCGGTGGAAAGAAGATGAGGGGTCTGGGTGGCGGTAGAGGGGCAGGAGATGCGAGTAGTTGTGCGGGACGATGTCGTTGTATGCTGTAGGCGATGGTGGTTAGTTTGATGTTGCTCGCGTGTAAAGAAAGAAGGGAGGAAGAAAAAGAGACTTACGTTGCCTCGCCCCCCAAATCAACCTCTCAACCGTATACCCCTCATTATTAATCACAAAAACAATCGCCTTACACTTCGCCTTGATCATAGTCCCAATCTCCTGGATCGTCAAAGCCATACTTCCATCTCCCGTCATCAGAATAGTCCGTCCCTCTCCCTTCTTGTCTAGCTCCCTCCGCGCAATATCCACACCCAATGTCGCAGCAGTAGCAAAACCAATACTGCCATAGTAGATCTGCGTAACGAGTCTGATGTCCGCTGGGAATTCAATGTCACATAGACCGAAATTCGAGGTTCCGGTTTCGCTGACGAGAGCGTCGCCTGGGCGGATGAAGGATTGGATGGCGGGCCAAAGTTGGGATTGCGTTAGGTGGGCTGATTTTGCGTCGAGGGGTGTGCGGGGTGGTGGGAGTTGCGGTTTGGGGATTTTGTGTTGGGGGGTTGATGGTAGGGCGGCGGTTAGAGCTTCGAGGAGGGTTTTGATGGGTGTGTTGGGGTAGGATTTGCCTTTGACCTAGGAAGTATGTCAGTAATAGACATCAGATGAGGTATGCGAGGGACTTACAACAACGTCATGTGGGTTGATGTGGATGGTGTTAGTCTCGTCCAATGGTCTTGAGAAACCAGCCGAGTTCGTATCAGCAGGTATGTACCCCAGAGTCACCACCAGATCTGCCTGTTTCGCTACTTCTTTGACGCCTGGAGAACTGACTTCGCCGTTCCATACCCCAACGAAATTCTCTTCTGTCTCATCGACAATGCCCTTGCCCATGGTTGCTGAGAAGAAAGGAACGTTGAGTTTGCGGACTAGCTGCGCGGCTTCCTGGACAGCGTTGAAACGATGGACGAGAGCGTCTACCAGTACGGTCGGCTGTTTAGCCTCAGAGACTGCAGCCACGATAACCTTGACCGCTTCATTCCGCGCCTTCTCATCCACATGCGGCGCAAGATCAATGGGAGTTTCCAATAACCCAGCATCCACCATCTCGGCACTCAGATCCAGCGGTAAGAAGATATAAACAGGCCCACTCTTGATAACACACTCCCGTAACACCCTATCAATCTCTTTCGGCGCATCCGCAACATCCCAGAGTTCTGCAGCCGCGAACCTGAGCCCCTCGCTAGCCTTGTTGTACATTTGATGATTCGGCTTGTTTCCAATACTGTGATGGATCATCATGTTGTTCTTCTGCATGGCCCGCGTAGTCTGTCCAACAACATGAACAACCTTGACATGTTCACTCATGCTACCTGCGATGCCGTTCAGAGCCGAAAGTTCACCCACACCATGCGTGGTCACGAGACATCCGGGCGTGTTCTTGATGCGGGCGTATCCATCGGCGGCGTAGGCAGCGTTCAGTTCGTTTTGGTTGGTGACAAAGGTCAATCCTGGGGTAAGGTAGATGGAGTCCAGGAATTGTAGGTTGAAGTCGCCGGGTACACCGAAGATTGTGTCGACACCAATTTGGTGGATACGCTCCCACATGTAGCGGCCGAGGGTTATCTTGCTGTTATCTGCCATGATGGGCTGTCCTCTAGCTCTTCCTCCTTTCGAGTATTGTATGTCTCAAGTGATTAGTTAACACCTCTGCTTTCCACGTCTGTTAGTTGTGTTGTTTGTATGTGTTGTAACCCTTGCTAAGATATAGTCGCGACAAGCTTACCGTGTGCTGTGCCGAGGATTCCGAATGTCCGAATGAGGCAGATACGTAAGCAAGGTTTAGAAGAAGAGCAGGAACAACACGGAACATGGACGCTAAACACCATAACATTCACATGATGTTAGCCTCTGTCTAGGGCGCGCGTAAGGCGTTGTATGACAGCCGCGGTTCGGTTGGAGACGGTTAGCGGAGTAGTACAGTGCGGGGAGATCGGCCTAACATCGGAATGATATCGGAAACAGACAGCTGCGATTAGAACATGACAACTAGAGCTTCAAACGGAAAACACCTTGTAAACGATGCTGAAGTTCTTTGATAGCTTGAACCTCTACCGATCACGCGCTTTCTTCTGTCGTCCCTGCAACGGAGTGCTTCTTTGCATCCTCGAAGCTCGCCATCTTGAAATCGTACGGCAGCTCAAAGTCTGCTTTCGGATCTCCCTCAAAAGGATTGAAATCTACAAGAAGAGAATCCTTGACCGCAAAAACGGCATCGTCGTCGATGTACTTGCTTGTTCGGTCGAAGATCTGAGTAACAATAGGTTTGTAGCCCGGCGCTGTGAGCTGAGATAAGTTAGCACATCAGGCTGCACGTTCGTCATAGGCTTCACATACCAGGAAGTGTATATGCGCCGGCCGCATCGGATGCCTATCCAGCGCTTGCAACACTTTGCCTGCTGGCCCATCGAAAGGTATAGGGTAAGGTACTGGCCTCAGGCAGTAGAAGCTATACTTCCCGTCTTTGCCCGTCGTGAATCTACCTCTGAGATTCATCTCTGGCTGGTCTGGATCTTGTTGTTCGTATAGGCCATTTGGCGCCGTATGCCATACGTCCACCACCGCGCCCTCAATAGGCTGTCCGGTTCTAAAGTCCGTAACGATGCCGTGCATCAATGTCCGGTCGCCTTGCTCATTTATTTCCTTGGACACGATGCAGGAGCCCATGGGCAGTTTCGGAGCATCATGGCGGTAGAAGGGGCCTAGAATCGCAGTCGCTGTGGGTTCGTCGGCGGCAGTAGAGGCGAGCTTGTACGTGATCTCGTCGACGAGCGATTCGAGGCCGAGAATGTCGCAGAGCAGTTGGCCTTCGTTCCGTTTGGCGTCTGACATGCGACCTGCTGCATTCATCTGCCCATCGTTTAGTATGCTGAGTCATATCTCACAATATCAAACATGGAAAGCTCTCTGACGTACCAACTCAACTCCTGTCATCCACTCATCGACTGTGAGTTCATTCTCCCTCGCAAAGTCATGGAGATGCCGTATTAATCCCGCTGTGAGCTGTCTGACCCTGGGCGTAGCTTTTGGTCCCGTCGCATTGATTACCGCCTGAGTGAAATTCGGATTGAACTTGTGGTCCTGGCTATCCGATACCGCGGAAGGGTGGTGAGCTTGTGAAGCTTGTGCTTCTTCCGGCATGATGACGTTTCTGATAAAGAGTTTCTGAAGCTGCACTTGAGTTCATCAAAGGACAGTATTATCTTTCCCTCTATGCGATTGTGATTAGACCTAAAGTACTGCGCAGTAAACACGGTTCAGATGTTAGCAAACAGCGAACGATTAGCAGTACGATCGAGATCCGACAGCCGGCAGCATGTCGGCCAGTCAAGCACACCAGCGCAAGGCGCATAACTTCAGGGTTCGCCGTTGGCTTGTACTTTCGTACGACATAGCACGGTGGGGCTGTGGAGCGAAGGTGTGCATGGCGTCGATGGTAGACGCAGACGGAAGCTGTTGTCGGTGCGGCTTTCCGACGAAGGTGCGCCTTCCGAGACTGGGATCCTCGGGACTTGGCCAATGGAAGAGTGACGGCTAGTAAGCATATACGACGACTGTCGTAGGTGTGGTAACACAATCGTGCAGGCTATTGTGACCATGGACGCCCAATTACGCGTGGTGAATTTTGTATTAAGAAGATTGAGCCAGATCAATGATGACCATTTTGATCGCAGTAAATGCTACAGTATTGCGCTAGCAAATCGAGCTATGCAAAAGACCCAAACGCCTAAAATATGTCTTGATA